TTAATGGTGCCATGTTCCAACTTCCAAGACGTGCTGTATTCTAATCCTAAAAGTGTAAAGCTTTCTTTATCGAGTTTAAATTAATCAATGCTTAGAAAAATAATCTGTAGAAATTCCAAATTGCATATTACTACTATTAATATCATCATCGTCTTAAAAGTTTTGAAATTTGTTCTAGTTGTTGGAATTATTTTATGTAGAGTGACAATGACGAATGTTATATATAGCTGTAAAGTATTTTTTTTTTCTATACAAGCAATTTAATATTAGAGAAATTGGGTTGTATAACCATAAAAAATATATATTTTAAAATCTAGTCAAAACTTCTTATACGGCAACATTCTAGTCATTAGATCTAGGGTTTTAGTTAGGTTTTGAAATATAATATATATTTTTTTTTTTGGTTATAGAGCTAAAATGACCCTTTAATATTCTACCCTCCACTTGATAAACAAGCATGAGATTTGACATTTGAGAAATCTATTGATATTAAAATCATAAGCAAGTGGATTATAATATTTATTCCGTTGATATATACAACAAACAATTTGGTTAGTAGTTTCATTTTGAAGATGTTGATATTAAACCTTGTACTCAAAAGACTAAGGCCGCTTCATTCGCCTTTACTTCTTTGTTGATGAAGGAGCTCTTCCTATTGGATCTGCTCTTCACGCAGCCATGGCCATTTCTTATTTGGATAAACATGGTCATAGCCATGACAGTGAGGTTAAGAGTGAATTATAATTAGAATGTGTAATTGGTTAGTAATCATCTACTTGTATCGAAACTTGAATGTTAAGTGATGATGGTTAGGTTTCGGTTTGTGAAGGATAATTTAAAAATAAACAATATCTGAATATCAAGTCAAATCCGTTTGAACGGTAAGAAATTCTCAACGGTCACTTTTACAACAGTAAATAAAATAGCCTAATCAACAACTTCTTAAATCCTCCCTTCCTTTGTTTTTGATCTTTCAAGTTAATAATTTGTAAATACTCTACATCTAAATCATAAAGCTCCTCAGAGGTAGATCCAGAATTTGTTCATGAGGAATGAAAGGTATCATG